GCGCTGGGTCCGCAAATTATGTAGCTAGAAGGCCCCACAAGTGTAGCAGCTACTGTGGGATCTGGTCGCACCTGCAGTTTCCATGTTCAATACTGACTGCTCCAGCTTAAGAGGGCCTCCAGGGGTGGTGACCCAAATGGCAAAGGCACGAGAAGCTGCGTAAAATGCGGGAGGCAAGAGGGGCTGGCAAGCTGAGTCTGGAGAAAGGACAGCTTTCTAGGGAGAGGGGTGAGAAGGAACCATGAGAGCTGTCTTAAGCATTTAAAAGGATGCCGTGTTACATCTGGGTCATCCCTTAAGACAAAAATAAGACTGACAGGTAAAGGTGAGAGGAAGGTGGCCTTGGTCTCACGACATCGTAACAACGGTAATCGCGGCAGTAATCCACTGTCTGCTATGTGCCGGCCGGTATTTTTACATATTGGCTGGTTTAATCTTTTAACCATCCTCGGAGGTAGATGAATAGAAAAATTTTACAACCCAAACTGAACAACAGTGACATCTCTTCCAGGATGTTCTAAAGGGGTTAAAAGACAATCAGTGTATCTTGCTCACTTTATGAATCCGGTTCCTGGGCCCTGCAGTCTTCGCTGGCCCTGGCACCAGATGGCGCTGCCTCAAAGACGCAGACTAATGGCATTTCTGGGCCTTGAAAAAGGAAGCAGTGGGTGAAGTGGCACAGTGGCCACGGTAGGGGTTAGCCTTCCCCCACCCCCAGGGCAGCTGGTGCTCCGGCGGTCCTTCCCACGCACTCACACCACAGCCACCAGACGGGCTGGGCGTCCAGCAAAGGCTTGGGGGAGCACTGCTGCCAACAGCCATATCTTGGCACAGCTGACGTGGCCTCCACTGCGGAGGAAGGACGCAGATCAGGAGCCCTCACTCAGTCCTAAAGATCGGTGCTCACTGCAGAGCCCAAGCCCTGAAGCAGAAAGCAAAAACCAGGGAGACCTTACACTTGAGAAGGGCGACCTTGCACTCAAAAAAAAGTTCGCTTAGGCAAATCCTCAGGTGCTAATCCATTTCTTTTGACAGGTAAGGCCTGGAGGCGAGGAGGGAGAAAGAATCTCCTTTCATAAGCAGTGCACAGACTAACCTAGGGGAGCCTGCAGAGTCCTGACAGGGAAACTCTATAGGACAAATGTGGCTCCTTAAACAACAACCACCCAAAAACTGCTAGAAAAGAAACCAGGAGGAAGGAGAAAGAGGAGGACCACCAAGAGATTATGAGTCTTGAAAGACAGATCAACCCATTGCAATGCATGGACCTGATTTGAATCCTGATCCAGACAAACAAACTTAGGAGATAATTAAGGAAATGAGAAATGACCATACTAAAGAAATTAATGATTATTTTTAGGTGTGACAGTGATTTTGCGGTTACGTGTTTCAAAAGTCCTTATCTTTGGAGACACGTACAGAAATATTTACGGATCGCAAGCTACAATGCCTGGATTTTCTTCCGAACAACCCAGCGTGGGTGGGCAGCGGGGAGTATGGATAATCGAGACTGGACATAAGTCGACAACTGTTGGCTCTGGCGATGTGGGTTCCTTCTAGTTGGGAATTCCTCCATCATGAAAAAGCTGAGCTAAAGAAAGGAGACACCACCCGAATACCAGGACGTCATAAGCCTTCACTACAGGCCCATTGCAGGGATCTAAGGGGAGAAGCTGACATTTCCAGTCAGTAAAACATTTTGTTACTTTCAGATGGTTTTTCTTTCCTAGGTTAGGGCCTACGTTAAGGAAGGTCTAAAGATGCCAGTTCACCGTCAGAGCCTTGACTAAGCTTTGGAGATAGTCCAGCAGCACTTCCAGTCCAGCTTAGCCTTCCTCACACAAGCAAAGGCCTCCTGGTCCCACGCTCCTCTCCACCTCCAGCCACCTGCCCTGGGACACCCCCTTTGAACGGAAGGCCATCACCATGAGTGCACCTCCTTCTCCCCATGGCAGTGCTCTCTGACCCTGCTCTGCCTCAAATTCCCCTCTCAAATGGGACCAACTGCGAGTTCCTTCCCAAAAGGCAGGCTGCCCGCATGGAGGCACGGAGGCCGCAGCACACTCTGGGCTGCCTTTTGGACTCCGGATGCTTGGAGCAGAGCTCCTGACATCACACTTGCGTCCTTTATTCCCTCTCAACTCTTGAAGCTTCGTACGGGGCAGAACAAGGGCCGGCAAAGGCCACAAATGACGATGGTGCCTGGAGCTAAAGCCGCGCTCCCATACTTTCCACCATGTCAAGTTGGGCTTGTCATCAAACCCGGCACCATGAGCTCAGCCCAGATCGAGTTCTTCGGCTCGGTTTTAAGGAAAGAAAACACTTCTTTTAAGAGTCCAAAGCAACACCTGTCTGAGGCTTTGACCCCCCCGACACCCCCCCCCTCAGTTTACGCTGGAAGGAAGAAGCATGTCTTTGAGTGTGGGCATGGAGAAGGCCATGCTGTCAGATCGATGCCATTTGGGGGCTCAGCCAGGAGAAGACATTTTCTAGCAAACCGGGTAACTTGGAGAAGCCATTCCGGCTCCACACCATCCCAAGACCATCTACCCAAGGCTCAACGGTGACCCACGCCGCACCAATTCACCCCCATTCTTTCAGTAAGGCGCACTTGAATTAAAGCAATTCCAGCAAGAAAAACCTTCGCTGAAGCACTCGAGGCCAGGGACCTGAAATTGTAGACAAATTGTAAAAAAACATCCCTAGTTCTCTACTCAGCTTTTGTCAAGGAACTCGGCCTCGGCCCGGACAGAGATGGCCATGGCTGCATGAGATGGGGCATGAATTCACTCATATTCCTGGGCAAATGATCTCATTACAGTTGGGGGCAGGCGGGGGCACCTCTCCTCTCCCGACACCTGCCTGGTCAGCCCAGGAGCCAAGAGGCTGGCCAGGAAATGGGCTCCTTTCTCACACACACTTCATCGTACCTCAGCCCCATGCTGGCAGCAGTCAAGAATTTGGCCCAAAATAAGAGGCCAGGAAAAGAGCTCAGCTCCAGGGATCCAGCTAGAGAGTGGGGTAGGAGGAAACTCGCTCAGATGGAAGATGAGTATTAATTTCCGTCTTAGAGGCCCTAGTTCTAAATCGGAAGGTACAGTGAGCTCACAGACACAAGCTTGAGGCTCCAAGCCTTCCTCAAGCCACCTCCAACACCATCAGACAGACACACAGCCTCCCTACTCTGACCTGCTGTGAAGATGAAGAACGAGGGGATAACTTTAAATAGTTTCTTTCGTCTCTTTTCTGGAAAGAAAGAGGACTAACAGGGGAGAAGGCTGGCAGTTGCTCATTCTTTGTGAGGGGTCATGATAGTCACACAGGGCTAGGTGCAGGCCTAAAAAGATCCACGGAGAGAGCTAAGGTGGTGGGGGGTCCCCCGCCTCCAAACTATCAAAGCTACCTCTCAGAACAAGAGAAAATGAGCAAGAAGAGAGGCCTCAAATACCACCTTTTCCTCCCCAGAGTTCTCCAACATAGAAACTCTCAGCTAAGCTCAGCTGAGGTTATGTTCCTGACGCAATGCTGAAAGCACCCCAAAAATTCATTTTTGGATTAAGTCATACCACTCCTCCCAGCTTCCCAAACAGGCAAGGGGGTGACCACAACAGAAAAGTGAGTTGCTTTTCCTTTTTGTGAATGAACAGGAAGGAAGACCCACACACACATACACACGGGAAAGAACATTCACTAGAGTTAAAGTTAAGCCACATTCTCTCACATTCGCATCAAGAGAGAAAGAAGGAAAACAAGGGGAAAAATTACTGGAATGGTGGAAAGGAAAAAACATGTGCGCGCGTACACACACACACACACACACACACACACAGAGAGAGAAAGGTTTGGTAGCCCTCTCATTACAAGTTGGTTGGGCATAATGTAAACACACTTCTGCCTTGCTTAATCACAGAGTGCCGCCCGTTTAGGTTTGAAAGGCGGCAGTAAATTGGGCGTAGCTGAGTGGAGGCTAAAAATTAACCAGCCATCTCTGTTTCAATTTGTAAGAAAACAAAAGCGGAAAGAAATTATAAAGAGGGAAAGAGTAGAGGGGGGGAAAAGGAAGAGGAGGAGAACTGAACCACTTTGACCCAAAATGCAGAGTAAAATTGGAAAAGCAGAGGAGAACTGGAACTACTTGGAACACAAAAGGAAAAGGAAATTTTACAGTTTTTTGGACTTTGTTTCTTTAAGACCTCTCCTGCGCTCCCTGACATGCCTGTGCGCGCGCCCCCCCCCTCCCTGGCAGAGGGCTGCTAGGCACCCATCCTGGGGTCTCACCAATTCAGCAAAACACGGTGAAAGAGAAGAGCATAAGGAATCTTGTGCTCCTTTTTACTCTCTATGAAATCAAATGACTTTCCTACTCTCCCAAAGCCAAATCCCAGCCAAAATAGGTCCCGCCTGGGCATTTGGGCCCCAGAATCTGTCCGCCTCTGCCTTCTCTCCTCTTTTCTATTCATTGTGTCTCATATCCTGGGGTTTTACGCACCCCTCTCTCCACGGAACTGCTGTCCATCCCGCTTGTGCCAAACCCGGCTTTTCCCCAGAACTTGAGGGGAAGCGACAGGAAAGCCACTACCTGCCCCCCAGTACTACTTACTTCTGACTCATTTAAAATCAGAGAAACCAGTGATTTTGTTTTTCAGGGGGTGGTGTTCATCAGAAACTCTCAGCATCATGGGTAATTCTGGAACATCATGGCCCCGGCCCTAGGACCTGCAGCGTCTTTTGGGTAAGATGAGCCCTCCAAAGATGGAGATGCAAGAAAATCAGGGACATGGCAAGGGAGCCAAGGAGGAAGAATGGAGAGGATGGCGGTAAACAGAAGAAGGGAAAAGGGAACATCAAATGTACTGCAGGCCTCCACAGGACAGGGCCCTCGGGCACTCGGTAGGCCCATTGGGTGCATCCTCTGGACAGAAGAGGAACAGTAAACAACAAATGCCAGCAAGTAAAATAAAATGGGGGGTGGGGCGGGGGAGGGACTGAGAGCGACCTACCCGGAGTGTGGACAAAGTAAGCCAGATAAAGATCCAGTTCTTTGATTGTGACTCCAATGTGATGTGGCTGGACGCACAGGCCGGGGTTCGAGCACTGGGGCGACTTGTAGAGCCGCTCTCCATCAGTACTTTCCAGGGGGATCCCCTTAAACAAAATCACCATGACCAGGTCCAGCCGCCACACCTTGTCGGCCTGGCGCAGGCAGTCAATCCGCCGGATTTTGCCCTTCTGGTCGGGGTTGGAGAGCACGCAGCAGGGGGGCTTCTTGCCGGTGATGGTCAGCACGAAGTCCTCTCGGAACTCGGGCCGGATGTCCTTGCGCAGCTTGGCCAGCAGCCGGGATGCCCACTTCTGCTTAATCTCGGGCTTCTCGCCCAGCAGCTCGTCCTTCACCGCCCGCTCCTCGTCCTTCGACATCCGCTTCTCGTGCTTCTTGAAGTACTTGCGCTTCCGCGCCTGCAGGTTGAACCAGGTGTAGGAGAAGGCGCGTACGTGAGGCAGCAGCGCCTCGATGAACGGGTGGAACTCATCCTGCAGGCGGCAAGCCGGGAGCATGCGGGGCGAGGGAGGACGGGAGGAGGGGGAGAGAGAGAAGGAGAAAAGAAGCGTTAGAAGGGGGCACAGGAGAAACCCTCTTCTCCTCCTCCCCCCCCAACGACAATTTCCTCTTGCGATTGTTCTAGGAAAGTGTGGTCTGGAGCCACCACCAGTCTAGCCGGCCGCTTGCTCCCATCTCAGCCTCAGCAGCCAGACAGAGGCATCCGGAGCCTAAGCACACACCTATTCTCTCTCTCTCTCTCTCTCTCTCTCTCTCTCTCTCTCTCTCT